GTTGAATATTAGATGAATACCAGATGAATACTAGTTGAATGCTAGATGAATACTAGATGAATGCTAGATTAATACTAGTTGAATACTAGATGAATATTAGTTGAAACGAGATGAATACTAGTTGATTACTAGATGGATACTAGTTGAATACTAGATGAATACTAGATGAATACTAGTTGAATACTAGATAAATACTAGTTGAATACTAGGTGAATACTAGTTGATTACTCGTTGAATACTAGTTGAATACTAGATGAATACTAGATGAATACTAGTTGAATACTAGATGAATACTATTTGAATCCTAGTTGAATACCAAATGTATACTAGATGAATACTAGTTGAATGCTAGATGAATACTTCACAGGAGGTATGTTCGTGAAAACAATACAAGGTACCAATTGGACATATTGGCTACGTATATATTGTGTTATTTTGCATATATTCATAATTGTAATAGTAATATCGTTTAACTGAATGTGAATTTTTAATTCTGCAAGCTATATTTCGAATAAACATGGTCACTGCTTATTTTACCTTATTCCCGTGGTATCTGCCGTAAATCCAGCAATGGGACGCATGCTTTTGTGTATTTTTTTATGTGATTATGGATGCCGTGTGCGACATTGTGTTTACCAACAGCCATATCATATATTTTTAATGGTTGATATTTTTATATTAGATTGGTACGCAGTACTGTTTCCGAAATCTGAGTCTCAGTGTGTGTATACATGTATATATTAAAATAGCCACATGCGTAGTTTCAACTGTAAGTCCTATGAGTCTCAGAATAAAGACGTACCCATCTCGTCGTTGTTTAAACCAATCATGTCGTCTCTGAACAACACCAAAAAGGATCGATCCAGTAAGCACAAGTCAATGATCAATATTCCTGAAAAATAACTCCTTCGTCACGGTAGTGATAGTTTCCATAGTAAACATCCTCAGAAAGTGAATTGAGGTGTTAACATACACTAAATTGGTGAAACCTTTGGCCAATAAAAGTGATCCGCGGGATAAATTGATTGCGTGGTCAATAGCTGATGTATTTTCATTTAGCTTCGGGGCTGGATAGGTGAGAATTTCATGACAGGATTAATACATTAACTAGATAATGTGTCAATTGTTATGTTTTATTATAGTTAGGACCCACCACCTTTGACAACTATTGTCACCACTCGCCCAACTTCTTATAGTGTTGCATTCTTTTCACAATGCAGACATGTTAATATTTTTCAAGCTCTTTAATCGCATAACATCAACCTAGGCAAGTACAGTTTTCAAAAAGATAAGAGCCCTGCTACCAGTACAGCTTTAAACGTATCAAGCCATTACCCACTTTCTTACTTGTCATTCTATGCCTCTCATATAACATTATATCCCTGTGGATAAATGATTTACACTTATATTTATATTTATATTTACAATTGTCATTCCATTTCCCAGGATCTAGTTCATAGCACCATGATAGCATGATGGAGCAAAGCACTCATGATAAAATTGTCTTTTCTCATTAACGTATTGCATGTGTGCATTTTAATGTAAAATAAACGCTGTATCTAGTTTTCTGTGGCACATTGCGGCGGTGAGTTTTCATCGCCTCGGTCCACATAGCGTCAGTCATTCGTCAGCATTACAGTGTGTGGTTTGCATCAATCCGGCATTGCCATGGTTATTAACAGCTGTAATGTAGAAAAGAAAAGTTAATATACACATGATTGTTTCTGCTCAAGTGAATATGAATGCGATTAACTCCGAAAGGCGTGAAATAGT